GAGTCAGACCTGACTCATAGTGACCCCTCCTTGGGTTTCTGCAGCGGTATCACTACGGAAGTAGATTGCCCAACCTTCCTTCCAAGGAGTGGCTGGTGCATTTGAACCACCACCCTTCTGGTTAATAGTCAAGTGTCTTAGGCACTATGCTACCAGAGCTCCTAGGTTCTTATACTAGTTAGTTCTGTGTCCTTCCTTTCAAAGCTCAGGGCTCCAGGATTATCTTCTGTATCTGTGTCAGTAGGTTTCTCTTTTCTTTGTTGAAGAGGGTCTATGTAGCCTGTCTGACTATTGTGGCATCTAACCAGAAGTCTTGTATATGTATTCTTGATGTTTGCGTATGTGTGTGTGTGTGTGTGTCTGTGTGCATGTAAATGTGTGTTCTCACATGTGCATGGGTTTCTGTTCTTGTGTGCATAGGCATGCATGCACATTCGAGTGGGTCTGTGTGCCTGTGTATGTGTGTATGAGTGTGTATATGCATGTTCTCTGTATGCAGTATGTGCAAGCATGCACACATGAGTGGGTGCATCTGTCCATGTATGTATGCATGTGTGTATATGTGTGTTCTCATGTGCATTCCTGTGTGTGCATGTGTCTGTGCTCGTGTCCATAAGTATATGTGTGCATGTGCATGTATATGCATGTTCTCATGTGTATGTGCATGTATATGCATGTTCTTGTGTGCATGGGTCTGCCTGCACGTGCATGTGTGTGTGCACATGTGCCCAGGGAAACAGCAGAGAGTCTCTGAGCCAATCTGAAGACACTACTACAGAGCACTCCACTGCCACCTTCTCTGCTTTTTTTCTTCTCGACAGTTAACACCACAGGGCTGTCCCTTTAGCCTCGCCTACTGATCATGCAGGCAATGCATTAAGAATCACTCGGGTCTTACAATGTAAGTTGGTGGTAAAGTACTTAAGACAAACTTATTTACCACATTAATTAAATGGTCTGTTTAACAGGGAATATCAATTCTCTAATCACATCTCGGCTGAACTTCTTTCAATTAGCAGCTCCGAAGTCCCCTGACCGAGGCCCTACTGTTCTAGGACCATTAAGAACATTTTCATTAGCTGTCAAATCAACGAGGAGGAGGCGGGAAGGCACGAGTGCTCGTGTGGCCTCCCTTCCCTGAGAGACGGTGGCGGCAGTGGCCGCACTCCTCCTGGGGAAGTGCCAGCGACAGCATCCTTGGGAAGCGGCCCCTGTGACGTCCAGCACTGGGCACATTCTCATCCTCAGGGATCCTCTTCCCCCAGTTACATCTCATCTCCAGATCAGGACAATGAGGGGAACCCACACAGACCAGACACTGAAACAGCTGACAACACAATCCAGTGAGAACAAGCAGGTGCCAAGCACGGAAGGGGTGTGTCAAGACAAGTGAAAATCTGCTCACTTCTTACTCAGAAGTGAATGGAAACACAGATACCTCACTTACATTCTCATCATTAAAAACACAAACGCAAATCTCACTCCAAACAGACACAGCTCTGGTGCGGCTGCTGCCCTGGCGGCAGAAGGACGAGCAGACGGGCCTGAGGAGAAACAGCCCAACCTCAACTCCACCCAAGGGGTCACCCGCACGCAGCTCGTGTTCCCACGGAACAGGGATGCTTGTGTATCAAACGTCAGAACGTGACGAAACGCCGCAGAAACACAGTGGAGAAGCTGCGCTGGTCGGCATGCACACGCAGCACCGTACCAGCGTCCTACCATCGTAGCCTGATCTGTCCAGTCCACACCGTTACAGCTGGCTCTGACGGCTGTACGTGTAAACCACACTGCCCAGACAGGGGCTCTGTCTCTCCAAACACCACTGGAGAGAAGAGGCCAGTCATCAAAACACCTGCCGGGGTTGAGGACATGGGTCCAACGCAGTTTCTTAAAGCTGGCATCACTGAGGAAACGGTTACTGTCTGTGAATTAGTCGGCATTCACAGCATCAACTCTAACCTTGACAGCAACTTTGAACACTGGTATTAACACCTGGCATCCGCTCCTGGGAAGACTGACAGCTCGGAAACCCCGTGGGACGGTTCTACCTGGTCCTGCAGGTCACGGTACATCGGCATCAACATACAGCCTTGGAAACCCTGTGGGGTGGTTGTACCTGGTCCTCTAGGGTCACTGTGGGTCAGAACTGGCTCAAAAGCACCCACAGCAATTCTGCAGAGTACAGCAGGGGTCCATGGAGTTCTTTTTTTCTAAGTATCACAATATGATCTTACCTATGTGTTCACAGATGAAGACCACGAAGAAAGGAGTGACAAGGTCGTTTATCCCCTGGACATAGCCACTGGCAGGGTGACGAATTGCCCATATAAATAATATCCTTTCAAAAATCTGAAAGAAAATTGAACAGGGAATGAGTCCATAAGTGAGCACAGAGGAAACATTAAATTATGTTCATTCTTTTACTTAAAATATGTGTTGTTATTGTTATGTGCCCTTGAGTTGGACCTGACTCATAGTGACCCCTCCTTGGGTTTCTGAGGCAGTATCGCTACAGAAGTAGATTGCCCAAACTTTCTTCCAAGGAGTGGCTGGTGGGTTTGAATCACCAGCCTTCTAGTTAGCAGTCTAATGCCTTAGGCACTATGCCATCAGAGCTCCGCTTAAATAACAATATTCTTCACTGTATTTAACGTTGAAATATAAACAGGTATCAACTGTTGTGAAAGTTACTGGTTGAACTCAAATGATCTTGATTTTTTCCTGACTCACAAGTGACATGAACTGTTTCCCCAGCCCTGGACCCGTGGCTCCCATGTGAGCTGGCTCTCACAGATGACACTTCTTGCCCCTCCAGCCTTGGGAACTACTGTGCACAGATCTCCAGGGCTCTGTCAGGCAGCTTAGCATATCTGGCCTCTCAGTGAATACTCCTCAGAGCTGAGTGAATGGATAGATCAATGGCTAAGTGGGTGGATGAACAGGTGGGTAGGTGGATGGGTATTTTTGGATGTGTGGATAGATGGGTAGATGGGCAGGTGAATGGATGGATGAGTGGGTGGGTAGATGGGTGGTTGGATGGGTGAGAGGGGTGGATGGACAGATGGGTGGATGGGTAGGTAGGTGGACAGAGACATGGATGGGTAGGTGGGTGTTTGGATGTGTGGACAGATAGATGGGTGGGTAGGTGAGTGGATGAGTGCGTGGGTAGATAGGTGGGAGGGCTGGATGGATAAATGGATAGGTGAGTAGGTAGGTGGTTAGAGACGTTGATGCATGGATGAATGGATAAGCGGGTGCGAGGGGTGGTTGAGTGGATGGTTGGATGGATGAGTGGGTGGGTAGATGGGTGGGTAGGTGGGTGGGTGGGTGGGTGGATAGGATGAATGGATGGATGGATGAGTGGGCACAAGAGGTGGGTCAGTAGATGTCTGGCCAGATAGAAGGATGGATGGACAAGTGGGTGGATGGGAAGGGGGGATGGGTGGGTAGATGGCCGGCTGTATGAGTGGATAGGGTGGGTGAGTGGACGGATGGATGGATGGGTGGATGGATGGATTAGTGGGTGAGTGGGTGGGTGGATGGGTGGGAAGGATGGGTGGATGGGAAGGGTGGATGGGGGCTGGCTGGCTGAGTGGGTAGGAGGGGTGGATGAGCTGACGAATGGATGGATGGATAGATGGATGGATTAGTGTGTGGGTGCATGGCTGTCTGGCTGGATGAGTGACTGGGAGGGTGGATGAGTAGGTGGCTGGATAGATGAGGAGGTGGGTGGATGGGTGGTTGGCTGGCTAGATGGATGGATGAGTGGATGCGAGGGGTGGGTGAGTGGATGGATGGCTGATAGATGGCTGATGGATGGATGGATGGATGGATGGATGAGTGAGTGAGTGGGAAGGGTAGACAGGTGTGAAGGGTGGATGGGTGGGTGGGTAGCTGGCTGGCTGGATGAGTGGGTGGGCAGGGCGGGTGAGTGGATGGATGGATGGATGGATGGATGAGTGGGTGGGAGGCGTGGGTGAGTGAATGGATGGGTAGATGGATGGATGGATTAGTGGGTGGGTAGCTGGCTGACTGGCTGCATGCATACTCTGAATAGCCTTCATATAGTACATTTTTAAAAAATTCTTTGGAAGCTACCCCAATCCAAGAAGACAAAAAAAACCTCACCAGCCATTCGGTGGCCCAGGTGATAAATGTGGGAGTTACCTAGCCTCCTCTCTTTAATTACAACACTCACATTCAACAGATTCCAGCCTTTCATCACTCCTCACACCCATCCTCTCTTTTCCATCTTTACTCTCAAGAGGGATTTTCCCAAGGTGCACCACAACCCCACCACCTTGGACCACACAAGCACACACACAGACACACGTGGCTTGGGGACCTTCACATTTGCTCCATATTTCCCACAAGATCAAGTCTAGAGGTCACAGTGCAACGCAGGTGCTTCCCCTGGGCCCAGCCCCTGGGAGGCCCTGCCCCACAGACACCCAAATTCTGGCCACACTGAGCTCAAGCAGCCCTCAACTCTGCAGGCTGCCCTTGTCCCCGTCAACAGCCTGCACAGGAAGGGCCTCTCTCGGAAGAGCCTCCACTCACCTGGCTCTCAAGGGCCACACCCTGCACTGGTCTCCCAGCGACGACGCGGCTGGCGTCTCCCCTTCCCTGCTCCCTTTCTAGTGGAGCCACCCACTTCCCGCTCGGTGAGTCTCCCGTCCTCTCCGCTCCCCGTGACAAACGGCTGTGGTAGAGCCTTAGCTGACCTGTCCCTGACTCACTCCCACCTGCTCCCACCTGCCTGTGGGTCCCGAGCAGACTGCTGCTGTCCCAGGACGGGCACTAGCAGACACTCAATAAAGCCTTGATGGATGGACATGACAACCAACGAGGAATGACATTTCCAAACAGAGCAGACCTGTAAGGCCAACTGCACCTATTCCACAGGAAGTCGGTCCCTTCCTGTGCTGCCCACTTTCCTGAACATCACTGGTCTAGTGGTCTAGACCCCAAGTCAGCATCAAGCCTGGCATTTATGAATGAGGACCACGGAACCAGAGAGGTGAGGGCCCTCACTCAGGGCACAAGATGATGGAGGCAAAACCAGCCATGCAATCCAAGCCCCTGAGCCCCCCAAGCCCCGATCACTGTGGTCACTCCAAACGCACCACCAGAAAGCACCTCTCATTCAGGCCCTTCGCTGGCACAGCTCCTGCCATACAGCAGGCCCCAGCGGACGCCTGGTGAGTGAGCGGCACACCACACGCATTACAGTCATACACGTTTGTCATTTTAAGTCAACAGAGAGTGCTGAATAGTTAAAAAAAGATCCAACATCAGAATCACTCAACACCATGGCCCAGTCTCACTATCTCTTATGAACAGAAACGAGGCAAGCAGCACCCAAGGGCGTGTGGTACTGCCGGCCTAGAAGGACTGACAGCCCCCCAAGTGGAGCAACCTTGCAGGTGGCCTGTTTGAGCAGGGCAGGGCCACGGGGAGGAATGGAAGCCTGACCACCCTGCCTCATGGCCAGGGCTCCAAAATGCAGCAGCCACACCAACACAGGCCCTGTGCATGACAGGCCCCAAGGCGCAGACACAGGCACGGCTGGGAAAGGTCACGTGTCATCCGTAAGCTGGGGGCAGAGGCAGGGCCACGGGACAGGGCAGAGGAGTGGGAGACACGCAGGGGGACGGAGGGCCCTGGCGATGGGTCCCTGGACTGAGTGCAGGGAAGCCTCCTCCAGGGCCCCAGGGAGGGACCAGGAGGAGTGTGACGTGGCCAGAGCGGGTCGGCAAGAGGGGAAGGCTGGGCTGGGCTGCAGGGAACGAAGGGTTTGCAACATGGAGGCAAAGGCGGCAGACAGGCTGGGACTTGGCCGAGCAGAGCACAAGTGAGCAGAAAGCGCTGGTGTCAGGAGCCCCCGAGGGTGCACTCGCCCCATGGGCAGACTCGATCCTACACGGAGATGCCACCCACTGGGTGAACCCCTTGGTCCCAGTGACCCAGACGTGAGGCCTCATAGTGCACGTTCACACCTCTTGCTCACAGTCACTCCAAGGACCCGGGACCAGCTGAGAGGTCAGCCCGGTGCATAGCTATGGAACATGGAGTTGGGACAGGGGTCCATCTGCCCCAGCAACGCCATCTGAGGTCACCTCCTGAGCTCTCGCACTGCCCATGTACACACACCACTACATCAGAGGCAGCATCCGGGAACACAGGGTGGTGGGCTCAGGCTGCGCGCAGAGCAGGAACACGAGTTGCCACAATCCACATAGCATCACGGGGAAAGGGCACAGTGCAGCGGAGAAGGCGAGCTCTGTGGGAGACCACAGAGATGGGGGGCCAAGGAGGGCTGAGGGGGCATCAGCCAGGCTGTGAGAGCTTGAGGCAAGCCCAAAAGAGATGGGTTCAAGTTCTGATCCCCAGCACCTGTGAACATGGCTGTGGTAGTTCAGTTTGTATGTCAACTTGGCTGGGCCTGGTTGAGTGGCTGGGCAGATGGATGTAGTATTCCCCATAATGAGACTGGTAATCAACTCCATGGCGGAATCTACTGTGAGCAGCTGAGTACCTTAGGGATGTGGTCTGCTTCCTGTATATAAGGAGAAGCCTTAGGGAACAGTCTCTAGCTTATGGCATGCTTGAACCCTGCATGTATCCGTGACACCGTTCAGCAGCCTGCCATGCTCTGCCGACCTTGGGACTTTCAATGGACTTGAATTCATGGCCTGCCATGTGGTTTGGTAACATCGGGACTGTGCCTTTTTGCTTGTCAACCTTGGGCTTGTCAGTCCCAGCAGTTAGTAGCTGTCTGAGTGAAGAAAAGCCTCTAGCTCCAGTGGGCAGAGCTGAAGCCCAAGGCTGAGGGGCTTTCACCCAGGCCCTGGAGCCTGGCACTTTGAACTTGGACTTAAAAGCTCCAAACTTTAAGAGAATAAACTGTTTCTTCAAGCCTCCCATTTGTGGTATATTCCTGTCAGAGGGGCACTAAGGAACCAGAACAATGGGATTGGTTGGAAAAATCACCCGGGCGGACGCTGTTGGTTAGGGAGACATGAGTTCAGACTAAAGAATGTGCGTCGCACAGGGGCTCTGAACGCTGGTCTGGAGAAGAGGGGAGACACCCAGGCAGGACCCAGAGGGAGCCACCACGTGAAAACAGAGCCACAAGCCAAGGCGTCCTGGGGCCAACAGCAGGTGGGAAAGAAGGAGCCTCCCCAAGAGCCTGTGAAGAGAGCGCCCCAGCGCCTCCAGGGTTTCAGGCTTGGAACCTCTAGTTTGTGGTCTGTCACAGCAGCCAGAGGCTGAGGGCCACAGGTAGTGCCGTCTGCACAGAGGACCAAAGACAAGGAGCACAGTGCCCCGGAGACCACTGCAAGGCA